AGGGTAAAGTGGTGAGGTGGTGCAGGATTTTGTCCATCAACAGTACCTCCACAGTGTTGTTTGAGTCATGCCCGCAAGAGAAAGAAAAGAGAAAGAGAGAGAGAGAGAGAGAGAGAGAGTGCGGCCATTTTTGGATGGCTGGTGTTTGGACTCCCTCGGCTTCGTGAGGCAGGTGTATTTATATATATATAATATACTTGGCTTTGGCACCCCAGGGTGCCGGAAATGCTTGGCACCGTGGGGGGCATCGCCTGCAGCATGGAAAGAACCGAGAGAAAGAAGAGAGAGAGAGAGTTTTAGTTTGCAAGCACACACGTTACCCCGCCCCCCTCAGCCGTGGGAGGATCTCGGATTCGCAGCATCAGCAGGAAGATCGCATACGGGCGCTAACGCCTCCAGGCTGCAGGCTTTTGGCCGCTAGGACTTGGGTTGAACGATCGGAGAAAGCAAGCAGTAATTACATTGCATGTAATTACGTCGAGTCAATTTTCCCGTCTGCATGTTGAGCAGCGCTATTAGCTATGACATTATGATCCCTGGAGCGACCACTGGGTCAGGTGGCCTGGGTGGTTGTGAAACTCATGTCGAGATCCATGACTTGTCCAAGAGCCGGGTTCCTCCGAAAAACTCTGGAAGATCTGACTCTGGACATTCGTGGACCCTGCTAGGCTGCTAGACTGACCTTTGACTGCAGGAGCGTGTTGGTGTGTAACTGTTGGAGCTGGCCTGCCTCCATTCATTGCATGAAAGGGCACCCAGAGTGTTTACTGTAGTTCAATTGAAGGCCAATTGTGTACCAAGATTGGCCTGAAGGGACGTTTGTGTTTGCAGGTTGTCTAGGGTGCAACGGATCAATCGACATGCTTGCATGTCACTTTGCCAACTATACGGATAGATTTGAGATGATTTGAGGCTACACGGAAAGCAAACAAAAATAGGTGTCGCGATGTTTCCTTGAATCCGCCACTCCTGAAACTCGTCCAGCCTTGCTCAGCTGACCGCAGCTAAACCCATTCGATTCAGACTCGGACCGGGTTCGGCGACGCTCCGCCGGAGCTGCGCCGGAGCCGAGGCACAAAGTGGATCAAATGGAAGGGACGCAAACCATCCTTGAGCGGGATCAGAAGGTCAGGACCTGAGGCGTTGTTCTCGACGACCATGGATCACCATAGATCTATGTGATGTTATTTGGATGAGCCACGGTAGGTTTGGCTCATGGTATGTCAATAGGTGATAGTAGATCGAATACATGATCAAGATATGTCAGGATGAACCTCAGCGACTCAGTGATCTGTGTCTTTTTGGCAGTTGCGTAGCGCACCGAGGCGACCTTTCGAGAATTCTCCAACAGCGTGAGCGATTTGAACATCAAGCCGCTCGCGTTGCAGGTTTGGCCGCCTCTGGCATTAGCAGAGGTGCCAGAGTTCTGCATGGATGATGTGAAGGCAAGGCCTCCCCAGCTGAAGAGGGTACCTCCCACCCAAAGCAGTTGGACATTGTGTTGGTTAGGAAGTTGCGACCAGTTACGACCTGAAACCAGCTGCGGAACCCTCCTCCTCAGGGAAAAAGGAATGCTCGAGCTTCAGTCAGTGAGGCTCAGTGAGCCTGAAGGAAAGGGATGAGCCTCCGAGTGTTCCACCCTTTTCCATCCCAACATGGCGCACCGTTTGGGACCAAGAAGACGTACTTCTAGAGCGAGTCAGAGTTCTGCTTGTTGGGGCTCTTTGCATGGCTTCGAATCACCTCACCCACTGAGGCTGGGAAATCGCACGAGAAGCTGGTGACCTCAGAGGTGAAGGGGGCGGCCAGACACATCCGACCCCGAAGGCTGTGGATCTTCCTTGAAACTTGCCAATTGCATCTAGGTCCATGATTCCTATAGTAGGTTCAGATGACGTGTACTCTGTAGGGGCGTTTGGACCCAATCTGAAAGCAGATGACATGGCAAAAGTGTAAAAGTTCGGAGCCTTGGAGGAATTGAAAAAAGAGTTCCTGTTCTGGTTCCTAATACCTGCAACCTCGTGCTTGTTTTTTGGTCGGTTGTTCAGCTTGCCTTGATCTGTGAGCCAAAGAAAGATCCGAAGTACCTATCCGCTAAAAATAAACACATTCGAGTAACAACGCCCGTGGCTCACCAATCAACGCCCGCAGCTTGTGTGTAAACGCCCGTGGGACATATGAGAAAACTTGAGAAACATCCCTAGACTCAAAATTACAGGCTTATAGGCAGTGACTTTAAAGAGATGGAGAACATCCCTGCAACATTTTGATTACAGAACAGTTAAAAGCCTGTACTCAGTGGAGTTGGTCGCACCTTTGATATCGATTGATTGTTCTCATGGGTTACGGGCCAATTAAGGGCCGTCCAATGTCGAGCACTGGCCAAGTGACGTTTTGCAAGTGGCACCATGCCTCATGCCGGCAGCGTGTTGCAAATTGCTAGCTAGTAGGTCCAGCCGTTCAATGAAACGCGGTCAGCACCACTTTGAGAGATGTCGTGCGATCGTCACCGGGGGCCGAGGTCTGGAGGAGGGCCTTCAAGCACTGCAGGAAGGGGCGCACGACGCGCGTTTTCTGACGCGAGACGCGACGCTCTTCGTCGATGGAACATGTGGAACATGGGGAACTGGAACGTGCATCTCCGTGGGTGAAAGACAGGCCCTGAAGAGCATGAAAAAGAGAGCATGGACCTCATAAGGCGGTCTGAGCCGGCGCGGGATATGGGGGAGTTCTATTTTTTATCCTGGGTCTTCACGGGTTAGTGTTCCAGACATGGACACGCAATGGTATGCACACAGCCTTGTTTTCTCAGTCCAAGCTGCTGTGTCAGGGGGCTTGTTCTGCGGCTGAGGTCTTGGCATATGACACCCTGTTTTGCCCACGCTCCTTGCCCTAAGCCTCACTGCACCGTGCTTCGAGGTTCATCCTGGTGAGTCCTGCCGTTCGGCCACCGACGCATCCCTTGACTATCGTCCCTGACCTTCGTGGCACGTTTCTGGGTGAACCCCCCCCGTCTCGGTTGCATTGCACCGCTCAACTGGAGTCATTAACACATGGCTTAAGCATGGTTTCACCAGGAGGTGGCAGCATCTTTGGAGCTTGACCGGGCGAATGGGGTGGCACCAGGTGAGCTGGGAGACTCAGGCCGCAGGCCGGAAATCGATGCCGCACAGCGAAGATCGCAGAGTCAAAAACGATGGCTGTATAGGTGAATCATGGTGAATCGAATTGGTTCCTCCATGTGCCTACCACCGAATATCTTTGGGGAAAACACCGATGACGGCACTGGACCAAGAAAAAACAAAAGTGCGCATCACCAAAACTGAGGCAGACTGCCAGTTTTCAATGCTTAATGGTGAAGGGAACTTTCATTTGATATTCTGGGAGAACGACCTTTTGACAGACCAAATGCATATAGGTACTGTTTCAGTTTCCATGCGGCCATTGTTCCATCTTATATATTATATCCCCAAAACGGCCGCTGTCCAGGCGCGATGTTCACTGCCACACCTGTTAGTGTTTCAAGTCTTCGAGGAGTTGGTTTCGGGGGAAATGGCAGCACACTGGAGATATATTAGCATGTTCGGCAGTGCATTCTAAGCATTCCGATCATTCCAGGGATACATCAGTAACCCATAATAAGCTTTCATAAACCTTATAAGTAGTGGGGTGTCGGGTGTCCTGACGTACGGCAGGCAGAATTCGACCTTCGTGATGCATCGAAGCTTCGTGATGCATCGGATGCATCGAACAGATGGCCGACCTGCGTCGTCGCTGAGTTCGCGAGGGACCTACCACGCTGAGGATGGGAAATCGATCACACCTTCACCAACCTTCAGGTGACGGAGTGAAGGAACAACCAAAAACTGGGTGAAGATGGGACCCGCTGGGTGGCTGAGATCAAGCTGCGCCCGTTTAGGGGTGTCCGAGATCTGGTCTCCGAGTCTAAAGTCACCTTTGGGGGATTTGGAGCTCCTTGCTGGATTCTGCTTGTTGTGGGATCTTCCGGAGACAGTCCCCCTTGCACTTCAACATCTCATTTGACACTGCATGGTGCACTTTTGGTGTATGAGTGTCTTGCCCAAATCCACATGTCAAAGAAGGTGACAAGCCCCTGTTTGCTGGCCCATGAGCTTTTGGAGATCAATTTTTTGTAGTATATCGTCCACCCAAAGTCACCCAAAGACTACTCATGTACGGGACGTTGATTCTGCCAAACTAGCTTCTTTGGGGGGGATGCTAGTTTGGTGTGATTATATAAGGCAACGTCTTTGATGTTCTTTTCGGTTGTAAGTTGTAAGTGTGATCGTGACCACCAAACAATCCCCTAAGACCGCTTGGAAGACAAGGTCTTGGCTAAGACGCCAACCCTATGACCTATGACATCACTTTACAGGAAGCACCTGGACCTATGCAATGGAACTGTCACCTGCCCTGAGCCTCTCAAACAGAAGAACTATACATACATCTATTCTATATACTGTAACCTGCTCTTACTGGTGCCAGTCCGTTTGCCATTCCAAAGGCCAATCGAGTTGAACGCTCATCGTGTTGGAACCCTGGCTCCTTGCATAGTGAACTGGGATTTGCCGGCACCTTTCAGGAAGGTCATGCTACTGCTTCATTTTCACTTCGGAGCCACAACAGGGTGGGTTGACCACAGTGGTCCTGGCCACAACAGGCCCCGTCCCGTCTTCGCCAGTCGCGCTTCGTCCCCGCAGCCGCGACGTGAAAGGCACACGTTCGGTTCGGACATAGTACTGACACATCCTGACGCCACATAGTACAAGAGATGTTTCCCCAAATGACACGAAATCTCCATGCCTGGGAAAACACGGGAAAACACTTTAAACCATTTGGGCCTATGGACCCTTTGAATCACCTCATTGGGCCAGCCGCGGCCCCGACACCGTTGGAAGTTCCGCAAGTCCGCACACCCTTCAAGAGAGAACACCCAGGCTACTGTGGCCATTCAAAGGGCTCCCAAAACAGAAGTTGGCTCTTCCTGGATCCCTGACCCACAGTGTGTTCTTTTCCCTTCTTTTCCGTTGCCAGGCCCCCCAAACACCTCAACAATTCTGGCTCCCCAAGCTAATCCAGAGCCCTGAATCCTCCGACAGCTCGACCCTGCGGAGCGTGGAGCTCATGGCAAGCCATCCGGGTTCGCCCACGGGCGCGGGACGCTTCCAGCAGTTGCTCCATCAGCTCTTGGCCGAGCATGTCTCCCGGTGGATATAGCATCGTTTGAAGCGCCGTTTGAAGCGCCGGTGGTGTTTCCAGGTGAAGATGAGCTGAGGGAAGCCACTTCAACTTTGACAGTTCTTTTGGGATGGTGGGCAATTGAAACCAGGAGAACTATAATTGGTCTGTCAGTTCCTTTTTAAAGGACACCACCTAGTCAAGGCTCGAATCTTGTTACTTTTGCCACCAAGGAGCTTGAAATCCAACGACTGAAGCACGCCAACGAGGACCTGCAGCATGAGCTTCGCGCGCTCCGCGCGCGGAACGACGTGCGCAGCGAAGAAGTGGCGCCGGAGCTGCCAGTGGCTTGGCTCAGATCGAGAAGCCAGGCATCCCCTACAATTATTCCATGCATGCAGGTCTAGTCTGACCGATGCACGACCTGGCCCTGAAAATCTCATTGTGTGGTTATTTTTCTGTGAGTTCACCTGTAAAAATGAGGTCTTTGACTTTGACGGGTGTTGGAAGAACTCCTGTGCCACAACTGTTGGCCAAACACTTTGGGGATCATTCCGGGGAAAAAAGGTGTTCATCCTGACTCGTGACACCTCTTGCAGAAGCCAGACTCGGCCCTTAATTGGACGGAACACATACGGGACGATCGGGACGGACCGGCGTCGTTTGGGAGCCACGAAGAGCAACCGACAGGGTGAGCAGAATAGCGTGCCATGCAAGTTTGGAGGGCAAGAGTTGTTGAGTGAGACCTGCTGAGCCACAAAAAGAAGGTGATTGGCAGAGCGGATTGATGTTCATTGCCCCTGCTCTCTGATCTCTCTCTCTCTCTCTCTGATCTCTCTCTCTCTCTCTCTTTGTCTCTTTTTCTGTCGAGTCACACAAGTCTTCAACGGTGGTTGCAGCATGTCTCTTTGAATGCCTGCACAGTGGACAGGCTTTTGATAGATCTCGGCCGTCACATGCTATAATATCAAATCATATCAAATCATGCTGCATCATTAAGATACATAGATATATAGATTAGATTAGATAGTAGATAGACACCTACCGTGGCTTGAGCCATGCCGCATGCCATGCTAAGGACTCGAAGCAGACCTTGGAGGCTCCAGTGGCGCATCAAATCTCACAAGTTCCCGAACTGCATGATTCCCATCATCCTCTCCGGGAGGCTGGGGGGGGTATGTGACAATGTGCATCTACGCATGCAAATCCCCGGGGGGGAAGCTGAAGCTTTTCCCTGGACGATTTGCAGTGGCACTGACCGGTGCCTTCGCCTGCGGGACCTGCTTGGACCTTTGAACGGGCGCGTGGAGCATTGCTGCAAGGGACGGAGGAATCTTAGTCGCCGGGTCAGTCGCCGGTTGTTAAACTTGGCTTCTCAGCCCTTTCACCTCGGTCGGTTGGAGCAGTTGCCTTCAGTTCCAAAGTCCACCTCTTTGCGGCACACCTTTCCAACCTGATGGGTGCCATCCCTCCCGCCTCCCACCCACTGCCCTCGCCGAAGTGCGCCCGCGCGAACGCTCGACGTCAGGCGGCTCAATCGGAGGACTTGGGTGAGTCGACGTTCGGCTACTCCTCCTACTTGTTGCCCATTCCGGTGCAAAAACACCAGGCGTGAACAGCACGGCTTCATTCACCATCCGTGAACGAACACCGGTGAGCTCCAACGGGAAAAAGGAGTGTGAGACATGTCGTCTTCGCCGTTGAAGAAGTCGCCCCTCCCGCCGTTTGCGGGGCCAGACCCGCCCGTGACGGCGTCGCGAATGGGCAGGTGGATGCCTTGATCTTCGGTGTTCATGGACTGCCCTTGGATCTTCTGCCAGGCGCCCCGCCCAAGTCCGGCACTCGTTGTGCCTGGGTCGGTCCCAGTGGTTGATCACGAAAAGGGCGCGGTGTCTTTAATCTTCTTGAATGACTGAAATCAATCAGTCGAATCAGTGTCGCATCCATCCACAAGTGCGGGCGATTCAAGTGGTTTTATATGGTTTTATGGTCAGTGACCTTTGGAACACTCACGAAATTCGCCAGGCATTGACGGTGAGAAGTGCCGTTGCAAGCTACAGCTCCATGTGGAGAATCAGCTTCGAGAAACCCCCTGGGCCGATCTGCGCAAGGACGGTCGATGGTGGCGGTTCGTGGTACACTCAGGTCCGAACACATCACATGGTTACGTGGATGGCATGGCCTCTTGGAAGTTACTTTCCTCTACAAACAGTGGGTGAACTCCACTTCCATGTGAGTGAGTCGGAATGTATTGATGATGATTGATGGTGAGCTCAACATGGCAACCCATGGCAACATATGGCTGTGGGTCAAAAATTAGGAGGCCTTGCTGAACATGCATGAAAATGCCGAGAATGGACGACCAGAGATGGTCAACCCCCAACGGTTAAGCCTCTAGGTTTTGAGCCACTGCCATAAACAAAGGCAACGATGAAGGCATTGAGAAAGTTCACTTGCCCTGCTGGCTGGCGTAGAGGCCTCCGTTTGGAAGAGAGAGGTTGCATTGCTAAGCTTTACGGTGTATGCGTGCTGTGTGTGTCAATCTCATTTTTGTGATTGATCTTCAGGGCACAAAAGAGGGTGTGTTTGCGTGTTTAGGGGGGCATTGGTGAACATCCAGCAGATTGAAATCTTCCTTGGGTTCATGTGGCTGAGCGACTCTATATCTCATATATATATATAGTTCCTTTCAATTTGTTGAATGGAGGCCTTGAACATCAAACAATGTTTCCCGTCACGGAAGTTCCCCTCCATTTCATCACGATGATCAAACTGTCGGAATTCGTCCGTTCGGAATCCGACCGTTCGGTATCCCCCCAAGAAGCCAGAGTGGTCATCCCAGCTTCTCCGGGATCTCCGATGTTCAGGTCCAGAGGCCTGGTCCACCACCAGGGTTCGACGAGGTCTCCCCACCAGTCGACAATGCTCGTCACAGGAGACCGCCCTACCCGGGACCACGACAGAGACCTGGGGAGCAGTGCCACGGTGAAGAAAGGAAGTTGGGGCTGAGCTGGGGCCGTGTCTTTTCTGCAGGGGCCTGACTTGACTCAACTTACTGAGCTCGTAATGCAGCTACTGAGCCCTACAATGCAGCTGACTTGTACTAATCCTTGGCCCTACTGAGCTCACGTCATGCAGCCTCAAGAGGCACCCACTGGGCATCTCATTGACCGTGAGGCTTGGGCGGCGCCAGCAGAGGGCCCTACACCACTGTGGCTTGGACGGCCCGGCAGTGCCAGACGGCCCGGCAGGACTACGGTAAAGCCCATTGCATCAAGCCACCAGGTCAACACCCAGCCAGTTGGGCATGGATAGCAACCGCTACCATTTAGTCCTTTTCTTCGGTTTGGAAAGCCGCTAGGAGAACGGGGTAGCAACCACCAGTGACCCCCAAGCAGTTGAGATGGCAGCGGGTAGTAGACTTAGAGGGCTCCTCCGGATGTGAGTAGAACATGATGTATGCCTTGACCAAGGCACCTCGGTCCCCAGCGTTGTGTCTCCACGGTCCCAGTCCGATCTATCCTATCAGAGCGCCAACACCAGTGCCAACAGCACATTTTGTAACAAGCTTTGCGACGCAGGCGACGCCACAAAGCTTCGTTGACCGCTCCAAACCGATGGAACATGCACCGCGAACAGC